CCTAGGCAGGGGATCGCCGACTGCCCACTTCCGCTGTCAGGAAAAGGAAACCCAACCGCGGCGTCGGTCGCGCAACGGTTGTGCGGCGGCGGCACCCGAGCGCCCGCCTCCAGGCTAGCGAGGCAGGGAGATGGCCCCACCTGCCAGACCGCAGGGCCCGACAGCGCCTCAAACCCAGGTGGCGGGTGGAAGGGCAACACTGTCGAAGCGCCCCCTGGCGTAATCGCTGGCGCTAGTGCCGGCGGAAGCGCAGGCGTCGGTGCTGCCGCCGTCTGTGCTGGCGTCAGGGCTGGCGTCGGCGCTGGCCTCGGTGCTGGCGTAGGCGCTGGCGCTGGTGCCGGCGTAAGCGCAAGCGTCGGTGCTGACGCCGCCAGGTGCTGGCGTTGATGCTGACGTCGGTGCGGCGCTGGCGCTGGTGCTGGTGTAAGCGCACGCGTCGGTGCTGCCGCTGTCCGTGCTGGCGCTCGTGCAGGCATCGGTGCCGGCCTCGGCGCAGGAGGAGGCGCTGGCGCTGGTGCCGGCGTAAGCGCAGGCGTTGGTGCTGCCGCCGGCAGTGCTGGTGTTCGTGCATCAAAGCCAGGCGGTGGGCCCATCCGCCAAGCACGCGGCTGTAACGGCGACTCCAACCCAGGGGGGGGCCGGAAGCTGGCGCGAGTCGGCGAGGCGGCTCTGGGACTGCTCCGCGGTGGCCCTGTGCGCTCGGCACGCGTCTGTGACGGCGGCTCCAACCCTGAAGGGAGCTGGAGTCCCGAAAGCGAGGGCAAAGCTGCCTTGGGACCGTCTCGCGGCGGGGTGCTAAGCTGGTTAACTGCGGTGGCGGCTGGGGGAGCGGTACGAACCCCTCCCTGCGGGGCCGCAACAGCATCGCTGGAGGAGCGCATACCCACCCCCTCCAAACCGCCAGAATCCACAGCGTCCGCCGCTACAGTAGGCGGGGGAGGCACCGCGCGCGACAGCTCGTGGGTGATTGCCAAACGAACAGAGCTCCCGCCCCGCCTGGTTTCGACAACCGACGGCTCCGACCCTGGAGGGGGCCGAAAACCCGCGGGAGCGGGCGAGGCGGCCAGAAAACTTGCTCGCGGCGGGCGGCCAGACTGGTGAGCCAGGCCGACGGTTGAGTGGGCGGCACGACCCCTCCCCTGCGGGGCCGTAGCAGCATCGCTGGAAGGGCGCATGCCAACCCCCTCAAATCCGCTGGGTCCCGATCCGCCCGAAGGGCCCTGGGCGCGCGCGCGCCTGTCGTTGCCCACGCGAGGGAAACGATGCCGCGAACGGCAGCTGAGCCATGGCGAAGCGGCGACTGGAGGGGGAGGAGTAGAGGGGGAGTGGAGAAAGAGAGGGTCCACCGACTCCGACTCCTCCGTCCTGGACGCCGTTATCTTCGCGCCGGTGGCCTCTCCGCCTGTTGCCAGGCGGGCGGTGTTCCGAGAGGCGGCGGCGACACTCGTGGCGCGAGCAATAGACCGTTCGGCGGCGGGCGGGCTCGACCCTTGAGTGGCGCCGGCAACGGGCGTAGCGCGAGCACTCTTCTTCCGGGCCGATGGCGCGGCCTCCTCGTGATGCGAGGGAACTCCACCTCCTACTCCTCTCCTCAGATGGGCGTCCGCTCCGGGGTCCAAGGGGAAGAGGCAAGAGGAAGGAGGGGAGTTTTGTAGCGGCGAAAGGGAGGCAGGCGCCATCGGATGCCGAGCCTGCGGGACGGGGCTCAGAAGCCAGCGTCACACGAGCAGCAGCTGCGGCAGGCGCGGGAGGAACCCGCGAGCAGGTCAGACGCCTGCCTGGACGGCCTGGCTGGGGCCACGCCCAGATGACACGGGCGCGCACTGCCAGGGGGGCAGCGGCGCCCGAGCGGAGAGTGTGCACACTCGCCGCTGCCGGGTGCCCACAGGAGGCAGCCGGCCCACCCCCACCCGAGCTCTGACTGGCGGGGTGAAAGAGCGACCCCGAACCAGCCAGATCACGGAGGAAGCGTTGGGACCCCTGCCTGCGGCAGTGGCCCAAAGCAGCTCGTAGCCCAGCAAGTAGAACACCGCCGCGTAGGTGAAGAGGAACCTGCGCGGCGGTGGCAACCGCAAGCCCCCTGGCGCCCTGGCCGCGCGCGCGCGGCGGGGGGAGCGGGGGGCGAGAAGAGCAAGCTAGGGGGCCGAGAAGCTGCAGGACCTGAACGGGCGCGAGCGGCAAGGAGAATAGAGAAGCGCATGATGATCGCAATGATGATGACGATTCTGATGATGGTGATGCTGATGACGACGATGCTGATGATGACGCTGATGTTGATGATGTCGATGATGATGAAAATGATAATGCTGCTGATGATGATGCTGATGATGGTCATGATGCTGATGCTGGTGATGCTGTGATGAGTATGATGCCAATGATGATAATAAGCATGATGATGACGACGATAAAGATAATGATGTTGATGATGATGTCGACCAAAAGGATGACAATGTTGTTGTTGATGATGATGTTGATGGCGATGATGCTGACGATGATGATAGCGATGCTGATGATGGTGCTGATAGTCATGATGATGATGGTGATGATGATGGTGATGATGATGGTGATGATGATGGTGATGATGATGATGATGACGACGCTGACGCTGCAGCTGCTGCTGCTGTTGTTAGTGATGATGTTGCTGTTGCTGTTGCTGTTGCTGCTGCTGCTGCTGCTGCTGCTTATGATGATGATGATGATGATGATGATGATGATGATGATGATGATGATGATGATGATGATGATGATTATGATGATGATGACGACGGAACAGATGTTGACGATGTCTCGGGCGAGGTGCTGGTTTCAGCACACCCATGGGGGGACCGCCAAGGGACATCTCACTCCTCCGTCGGCGCCCAGACTGCGGGGATGCCTCCAGCGGCTTGCTTGCTTATGCCCGCAGCATCCTCCGCTCTCGGAGCAGAGTTTGAGGATGCCTCGAGCGAGCCGACCAGCCATAACTGGGAGAGCTGTGGTCCTTACCCCCCTGGGGGAACCCATCGCATCGACGATCTCTCGAGAGGGGTGTCGAAATCGATGGGTCCCCCAGGGGGGTAAGGACCACAGCTCCCCCAATTGTGGCTGGCCTGGCGAGGCGCTGGTTTCAACATTCCCCACAGGGGGGGCGCCAGGGGGGCACCTCACTCCCCCGGTCGCGCCCCAGATTGCGGGGACGTCTCCAGCGATTCGCCTGCTTATGCCCGCAACGTCCTCCGCTTTCGGCGCAGATGGATGCCTCGAGCGAGGCGCTGGCGTTCGCACCCCTGGTGGGCCCAGATTGCGAGGATGCATCGAGTGGTTTGCCTCTTCTGCAGGCCAGGCTCGTGGGCGCGGATCCTCCCCAGGATGCCGCAGGAGGTTCCACAGGGCCCCAGGAGGCTCCAGGAGGCCCCAGGAGGCATCAGGAGGCCACAGAGAGGCTCACGAGGCCACAGAAAGGCCCCAAGAGGCCACGGAAGGCCACAGGAGGTCACAGGAGGCCCGAGGAGGCCGCAGGAGGCCCCAAGAGGGTCCAGGAGGCCCTAGGAGGCCCCAGGAGGCCCCAGGAGGCCCCAGGAGGCCCCAAGGGTCCAGGAGGCCCAGGAACCACCAGGATGCCCCAGGAGGCCACAGAAGGCCACAGGAGGCCACGGGAAGCGCCAGGAGGCACCAGGAGGCCCGGGAAGACCCCAGGAGGCTCCAAATGGCCCCAAGAGCAGGAGGCATCAGAAGGCCACAGGAGTGGCTCCAATCCCTGGTGTGTTACGTATGTTCCTATAGATTGGGCATCCCCTGGAGCACGAATGCTTGGTGTTTTACATATGTGTTTACAGGTTGTCCTTCTCCTGTGCATGCAATCCTGGGTGCTTTACGTCTGTTGCAGCTTGGGTCTCCCCTGGGGCACGAATCCCTGGTGATTTACACGTGTTCCCATACATTGTCCCTCTCCTGTGGCTCCAATCCCAACTGTTTCACGTAATCATTTTTTTTTTAGACCCTTCAGCGGTTGTCGTGGCCTCTTCGAATTTCCTTCCGGCCAAACGCCTGGCCTGTGTCACGATAAGCTGAGCCAGAGTCTCGCGAAGGCCAACCTGCAATAGGTGAGCCAGCACGTGAAACCTACCTTAACGCGGCGACGCTTGCGTTGTCTGGGGAAGGGTGTTCCAAATTCCGGCATCAGGCCAAAGCGCGGCCTCAAGTGTTTCACGTAATCATGTTCCTACATATTGGGCCTCTCCTGGACTCCCGGAGGCGCCAGGAAGCCCCATGAGGCTTAAGGGGCCCACGGAGGCCCCAGGGAGAGACGCACTCGTACTACGGAGACCCATTCACACTCCAACTCATTCATGATGGGCGTGTTTTCCACCACCACCACCATAAGTTGGCGGGGGAGGGGGTCCTCCTCCTGCTCCTCCTCCTCCTCCTCCTGCTCCTCCTCCTCCTCCTCTTCCTTCCCCCTCCAACTTATGGTGGTGGTGGTGGAAAACGGGCTAATCATTCACAATTAGATTCACTCCCAGACCGTCAACACGCAAGCCCGTGTACATTCGAAAACTCTCGCGCCTCAGACGCTCACGGCGGACAGGTCCATGCCAACGGATGCACACGTGGGGAGCTCCACGCAGTGAGTAATTGTTTCGGCGACCGGCGCGGGCCCCCGCCCCCCCCCACATAGACCAGACCGTGGCTGCTTTTGGCGGCTGCCGTTGGCTGGCGCAGGCAGATCGACTAAGCACTGGCCCCAAACCCCTTCCTCCCCCCACCCACCCTTCGGCCAAATGTCGAAACCCAGAATGAACCAAAAACGCCTATGATGGGCTAGATGAGCCCACCCCCACCAGCTGCATACAATTGCTTCCCGAGGGGGTCGCATAACATTCTGCATCATGTCTGTATCCGCTGACTTTTCTTGTCTTTGGAGGCTGAGCTGTGGCACCTACGGCACCAACGCTCTGAGAGGGATGGGTGGAGGAGGAGGGAAAAGGAGGAGGAGGGAAGTATGTGTCGTCCCTGAGGTCCTTCGCCTCCTCCGCAGGTCGCCCCGTCTCCGGCTTCTCTTCGGGAGCTGGCTCGTCCTGGGAGGAGGAAGACGATGAAGACGAGAGGGAAGAGAGAGAGAGAGACAGACAGACAGAGAGAAAGAGGGGGCGGGGGACCTCCCCCGTCTACCCGGAAGTCCTTCGCCGCCTCCTCGGCCGACGCCTTCTCTGCCCCTTCTTCCGGCGCAGGCTTGTCCTGAGACGAGGATGCGGAAGAGAGGCGGGAGGAGATGTCGCACCATGAGCGGGAGAGGAACGGAAGGAATGAAGAAGAGAGAGAGAGAGAACTAAACAAAGAAGAGAAAGAGAGGCTGAGGGCAAGGAAGGTGATACAAGGGAGCAGCAGGAAGATGCTGGCGGGGAGAAGGAGAAGCAGTGCCTAGCGATGCAGCTGACGATGCCCACGCGCTCTGATGATGATGATGATGGTGATGATGATGACGATGATGATGATGATGACGATGACGATGATGATGATGGATGATGATGGATGATGATGATGGATGGTGATAGATGGTGGATGATGGATGATGATGATGGATGATGGAGGATGATGATGGAAGATGATGATGATGGATGATGGATGATGGAATATGATGATGGAAAAAGAATAAGATGATTATGCTGATGCTGATGATGATGCTACTGATGCTGATGATGATTATGATGATGATGATGATGATGATGATGATGATGATGATGATGATGATGATGATGATGCTGATGCTTTGCTTCCTTGCACCGCGCGCAGGAATCCCACGGGCCGGGCCACCTGGCCTGTGCGCTCGCGCGCGTGCCGCCTGGCCAGCGACGGAAAACCCCCCCTGGAGGCCCAGACCAGGAAGGAGAGCGCGGCCAGGGCAGTGGCCCGGGCATGCCTCTCCCTCCTCGAACTGCCCCCCCTAGCTAATCACCCCTCCCCCGTCCCCCCTCGCCGCCCCCCCACCCCCCGATCGGGCGCGGCCTGGCCGGCCGCCTTCCGTGGCGACCCCCCTCCCCTCCCGCGCCGGCGCCCCTCGCCTCTCGAGGCCCCGTCTCCAGCCGCGCCTGCCCCCTCGGCCCCGCGGCAGCTCCGAGGAGGAGGAGGAGGAGGAGGAGGAGAAGGAGAAGGAGGAGGAGGAGGAGGAGGAGGAGGAGGAGGAGGAGGAGGAGGAGGAGGAGCCCCCCTAACTAATCCCACCAGCCATTTGGGCGTGAGTGGTTTAGAGAGCCCGCTCTGTTCTCAACCCTCCTTCCCCTTCGGGGAGGGGTTTACCCCTCCCCCTCCCCCCTCCCCCCGGGCCTGGAGAGGTCCTTTCGCGGGTGGTCAGGGGGGTCCTTTTCGACTCCTGGGAGGGCTAAAAAACGACACCCCTCACGAGGATTCTGGCCTCGACGGGGGGGACCAGAAAAAATGCTCTCCTCTTCTTTGAAGCCAAAATCATTGATTTTACTACGGTTTTGGCCCCATTTTGGCCTTCTGAAGGGGGCAGCGCTCATTACAGCTCCCCTCTTCCTTCAAGGCAAAATCATTGATTTTACGAAGGGTTTGGGCTCATTTCGCCCTTATGAGGGGGCAGCGCTCATTGAAGCTCCCCTCTTCTTTGATCCATCCCCTCCACGATGGCCCCAAGAAGCGCCCAGGAGGCACCAAGAGGCCCCAAGATGGCCCCAAGAGGCCCCCAGGAGGCCCCCAAGAGGCCTCCAAGAGGCCCCCAAGATGCATTTTTCTTGCTCCCCCAAGCCTCCAGCGGATCCCGCCACGAGGCCCGTTCGCCGCAGACGGCGGCACGCCATGCCCTGTATGGCCTGGCACAGCTAGCCTGATTGGCCTGAATGGCCCGAAAGACCTGGCTCAGGCCTAAACCAGCATCACGTTCACCATGCTCACATAGTGGCATCGGCAGCTTCTGGAGCAGCTCCACAAGCCCCTCTCAGGCCTCCTCGAAGGCCCACTGCAGCGCCTCGAAGACGCTGCTCTCCCAGTTCAGCTTGACGCCGCACTGGTCCCCGCAGCTGGGCGCAGAAGCCGTTGCCCTGCACCCTGTAGCCGCCGACCGCTGCCCCTCAGGCCTTCTCGAAGGCCACCTCGGTTGCGATCTGCACTGGCTGCCAGCACGCACGCTCCCCTCGCCTCGGCTTGCGGTCCACCGCGATCCGCGTGAGCCATTGGCGCCCCGCTCGCAGCTCTAGTGCCGTGGGAGGTGCTGGAGGAGGCTCGTCCTCATCTTGCTGCCAACCTGGCCTCCACAGGTTCCTCTCCTCCGCATGCTCTGCCGTCTGGGCCCCCGCGGTCTCCGCGACCTCCTCGAGCCCCTCCTCGACGCCGTCGCACACCGTCTCGGGGCCCTGCTTGACCTCGGACTCGGTCTCGTCCTCGTCCTCCTGCGCTGCCCTGCGTCGCTCCGCCCGTCGGCGGCGCTTCGCCGCGCTCTTGGTCGTCACCACCTGGTAGTGCTCGTTGTCCTCGCCCATCACGTGCGGCAACGTGTGGTCAAGGAAATCGGTCTGCGGCTCCGCCTCGACGATCGCCTCGAAGACCGCGGGCCCCGCCCCTTCGCCCTCGTCGGCGCAATCCGCCGATCGGGCTGTGACGGGCCCATCCCCTTGAGCAGGTCCTGGAGGTGGAGGCTGCCCCGCGCCGCCGTAGCCCTCGGTCACCTTCTCCACCTGGCCCACCTGCTCCATGCCCTTCTCCAAGGAGGAGTCCGACCCGTGGCCCTCGTGCTCGGTCTCGTCCTCCTGGCTGTACTGGTAGTCCTGCAGCTCCTCGGAATCGTCGCCCAGCGTGTCGCACACCGTCTCAGAGCTCTGCTTGACCACCGCCTTCTCGATCTGCTCCGCCCGCCACGCCCTCAGGCTGCGCAACAAAGCCTCTGGCTGGTCCTCTTCGCCGGCGCCCGGGTGCCGGAGCAATGCGCTAGCCGCGTCCAGCTCGCGGCAACGCTTCACCAGCGGCGTCGGGATACATACCTTGCCCGTGCGCATCTCCTGGAGGCCCGCCGCCACCGTGCGTCCTCCCACCAGGGCGACCATGTCTGCCGCAGCGCCGAGCAGCTGCTGCGCCCGCGCGCCCAGGGCTGGGCGCGCCGCGGCGGGCACCCGCGCTGCCCGCGCCACATGTTCGGTGCTCCCCTCCTTCGCGCGCTCGGCCGAGGAGCCTTCCCCCCCTGGAGGAGCCGCATGAGCTCCGCGGCCTCCTGCAGCGTCCCTACGGTCGTCAGGGACATGCCGTGGCGGACAGAGTAGCCCCGCCCGCCGCTGCCGCGCCCGCCGCCGATGCGCACCATGCGCCGCCTCGGATGCGCAACCCGAGGGCCGCGCGCTGCCCGCCAAGGGCCGACCCGCTCCCCGCGGGACGGCACACCTTGAGCCAAAATGGCTACGGAGAGGCCCCCAAGATGCCCCCAAGAGGCCCCAAGAGGCTCCCCCGAGGCACCCAAGACGTTCCTGGAAACCCTTGGGGCCGCCAAGAGGCCCCCAAGACGCCCCAAACGGCCTCCAAGAGGCCCCCAAGAGACCCGAAGAGGCTCCCCCAATGCACCCAAGACGCTCCTAGAAGCCCCTGGAGCCGCCAAGAGGCCTCCAAGACGCCCCAAAAGGGGACGAGGTGCCCGAACGCCTCACGCCACGAGGAGCCCGAACGACTCACACCAGGACGAGGGGCCCGAACGACTCACACCACGAAGAGCCCGAACGACTCACACCAGAAGGAGGGGCCCGAACGACTCACACCAGAACGAGGCGCCCGAACGACTCACACCACGAGGAGCCCGAACGACTCACACCACGACGAGGCCCCGAACGACTCACACCACGATCACACCAGGAGGAGGGGCCCGAACGACTCACACCACGACGAGGGGCCCGAACAACTCACACCACGAGAAGCCCGAACGACTCACACCAGGACGAAGAGCCCGAACGACTCACACCACTCACCGAACGACTCACACCAGGACCTCGTCTCTTCTCCCCGCCTCGTCCCTCTCCCGCCCCCACCACAAGGAGGATGTGCAAGGAGGCGGGAGGAAGGAGGAACAGGGGAGATATGCGGGGGCAGGTGGAAACACGCCTGAAAAACACGACTGTCGGCATGCTTCGCAAGAGTTGCTGTTTTGAGATGGGCTGGTGGGGATACGCGAAGCGTAAAGAATTACCGCCCCCCCCCCCGCCCGCCGATCGGGCGCGGCCTGCCCCTCCCGCGGCGGCGCCCCGCGCCCCTCGACGGCGCCCCTCTCTGGCCGCCCGCCCGCGCGCCCGCCGACGCCGACGCCGACGACGCGCTCCCCGAGCCACCTCTCTGGATCCCCTGCCCCCGCCCCCTTGCCCTCCGGCTGCCGGATCCCCTGCCCCCGCCCCCTGCCCTCCTGTGGCAGCAGCAAGGCACGCAGATGCTTTTCCCTTGAGCCAAAGCGTCAAGTTACGAGAGACGCTCTGGAGTGATAAACTAAATGCAAAACCTATATCGTGAAATCTGCTCTCCTGTTACACAGGTAGAACTTTCTCCTAGGTTTTGCAGCCCCAGCTGTCTGACAGTCATGCCAGACAGCTCGCAGTCACCTTACAGACTGCCCCAAAGTAAAGGGTTGAAACAGAGAGTACAAACTATTGGAAAGGGTCGGATGGCAGAAGGACGGGAGATGAGGAAGGAGAACCACCACCACCACCGCCACCGTCCCGGGCCAGGAACTCGTGCCAGGTGATGAACTCGCCGTCCAGGACTTTTCTGGAGGCCGCCTGTGTCCTGCTCTTGAGACCTGGAGTCTTCCTGCGGAGCTCGACCTCCTCGCCTTCGTCCACCAAGACGAGTCGGCCGCTCACCATCAAATCGAAGAGAGCTGCGTTGGCCTTCGTGACATCGTCTTTTGTGAGGGTGTCCACCGGCATGCGTCCGTGCGGGATCCATCTCACATGACCACGGGCTCGCTCGAGAGATTCACAGATAATAGCCAAATCTATAGCAGTGCGGCGGTCCCGAGCGCTCGCATTGCCCTCTTTCAACATGGTGTCGTATATACTCTTGGCGCCCACCACGTGAACCTGGGGCTCGCGAGCCCCGAGACTCCGAAGAACAGTGGTAAACGGGGTTGCGCCTCTATGATGATCGCTGATGTCCACGTCACGGAAAATTACATCACGGTGCAAAATCTGGAGATACTCAACCTCTGAGACGGCTGCTGCTAGTGCCTGTGTCTCACCGGCCAACGTGGATGG